CTGATTCCCCTGAACGGGAGGCGGTGGCTGCGTGCGCGCCGCTGGGTTGTCATTGCACCTCCCTGCGCCTTCCCTCCCGCTTCGCGGCCCTGTTACCGCACACCAGCTGTGCAGGGGCACGGAGTCGGTACCGCTGCTGGCAGCTGCCCGCTCCCCCTGCTTCATTTGGGGTTTGTTTCTTTTTGGCGACAGGTTACAGATGCACCGTCCCACCAAGGTCACCTCTCAGAGGAGGAACAGGAGTCACCTAAGGCAGAAAATGACAATGTATTTCTCATCAGGGCACAAGGATTCCCATTCTCATGCACCGAGGAAGACGTGCTCACCTTTTTTGATAGTATGGGATTAAATTCTCCTTGTAACTGTTCACTCTAGTGCACTCAGTAGTTAATGATTAGTTAACAGAAAGAAAATCTGAAAATCATTAGCCAGAGAAAGACGAGTTTTTAATATTGCTGCCAAATTATTCACAATTTACACATATAAACCACTCGACTTCAAAACTCATCCTTACGGCATTTTATATTTAACGGAGCAAGTATTTCCCTTCTTAATTGGTGTCTCTACAGTAAGGGCAATCCATTTTGAAGTGGTTCCTTTAAAGACCATTATAGTTGGCTTCCCCCCCCACTCCGCTCTTGCAAACAAACTGGAGTGGGTTTTATGTACTAGTTTAAACATCAGTGTTGCTTTCCAGTCCTAATTAATAGGCTTGTGCATACCTTTGCAGGACTGATCCATCCATACTATTATTTTATGATGCATCCTTCCAGAGGCCAGATGCAAGTTTTTCCAATGGTTTCATAACCTGCCTAACTAAAATTAAGTCCATTTAAGGTCTTGGGGACAGGAATACAAAGCAGGCAGAGCATAGACGTAGAGACTGAAAACCTATAGCATTTATTCTTGATTTCATGTAAATCAAACAATTCAGTTTACCAACAATATGACAATATATCTTATCCAGTTATACAACTGTGGAAGCTAATGGATTATCACTTTCTTATCTGTGATAAGCATGGGGCGTTAGAGTTAAGATTAGAAGTAGGAGTGTCATCTCCTTTGTTTCAAGACAGTGTTTTGCACTGCTCAGGGCGGGATAGCTTTATGCAGCATATTCAGTTTTCATCTGTGATTGAAAGACCCCTTGTTTGATGCAGTTGCATATGTTCCTGTATCGTGTGTTCCTTGGTTTCTAGGCTGTAGAATTCGAAATGGTGAGAACGGCATACACTTCCTCTTAAATAGGGATGGGAGACGCAGCGGGGATGCTTTGATCGAGCTGGAGTCAAAAGCAGATGTCCAGAGAGCCTTGCAAAAGCACCTGAGGTACATGGGCCCACGCTATGTGAAAGGTGGGTTTGCAGCAGCACAAGTTACATTGTAAGAAAACTCTCAATAAAGTGAATAAGAACTGCTTGAATAATAAGTGGGCTGGTGCGAGTGTGGAGAGATGCAGGATGTGGAACAGAGCAGCAAATCAGCCAGCAAGGCACCATTTATACCTGAATTCCTAGACTGGATGGGAAGAACAATGTGGTACCATTGCAGGACCATAGAATATGGGGTGGGGGAAGAAACAGGAAGTTTTGCAGAATGCCACGCGAGTACCGTGAGGGAAAACATGTTTTGTACCTGTGTTCCTTGTAGTTTTCGAAGTACATGATAGTGATGTAGAGAGCTTACTGCAGAATCTGCGAGATGAGTCACAAGCCATTAATGATGGAGTTGTACAACTCAGAGGCCTTCCCTTCAACTCCACTGAGGATGATATCACGTATTTTTTCTCAGGTAACTCAGCCTACTGTGTGGTATTTGGTTATGAGGTGTTTACTTCTCCAAGTTGATGCTGTTATTCCTCTAAGTGAGAAAAGCAAAAGCACACACAGGCTTGAACAGCTTAAACACTATGAGGAGTTGCTGTCCTCCTGCAGCTAGAAGTAACTAAAGCTTTCTGAACAGCTTGTGGCTAACCTAAGTTCAGTACTTGCAGCACTCTTCTGGATCGGGGGAAAGGAAAGAGGAACCTAGATCCTATTGTTTGCAATTGTATGGCTGCCAGTACATCGTTTAGTAACATTAAGAGCAGCAAAAAAATGCCTGTATGATCATTACAGTACGAGTGAATACTACATGGAGTATTCACAGCTGTTTAATCATGACAGTTAGGTCATGTGTGCCATGTTAACAGCAATGTTTTGAGTTTTTTAGTATTACTGGCTTGATGGCGATTGTGGAGATTGACTCCACCAGTTCTCAACTGAGCAAGTATTGCACAGCATGTGTGCACATGGATGTGTACCACACTTGGTGTTTGAGCAATCCATGTGGTTGCTGCCTGCATTCATTTAGCAAGTATCCTTTCTAGGTTTTGCAAAATAGCTGGACATTTCCTTAGGTAAACTTCTAAGTTGTAGACTAAACCAAACCAGTTCTTCCCCCGCCATTTCCTGCTCCATGTAAGCATGCACACAGAGTCATGTAGCACTAAGGTTCGTAGTAACCATGATCACACCAACAGCAGAGGCCACAAAGAGAAAAAACTTCAGTTGATAGCAACTAGTTCAATATGTTTGGAGGCACATAGTAACAGAGTGATCACAGTGACTAGGGCAGCATCGTGAAGCAGGTATTTCCATTTCTTCAGGATCTTGGAGAGACCCTTTGAGAAAAGAACAAGGTGCAGTGAGGTACACAAAAGCATTCCTGAAGAAAATAAGTGTAATAGCCTAGCCCAGTGTGTGCTCTGTATCATGTCGGATACAGCTACTTACTGGATTACAGGCTTACCAAGATGTTTTACAAAAGCACAAAAGTTGGAAGTTCAGTGAATTTGAGCTGAGTCTTGAAGACATGGGAAAAAACTACCATAATAAGAATTATTCCAGGAACATCTGTGCTCTGGACTTCTTTGTTGTCTAGAAGTTGGATTCACTTGGTATTTTCATTGTTATTTGAAGCCTCAGTCAGTTCATTATTGGCAATTAAGCTTTTGTGAAAACTAACAAGCCAAATAAATTTGAGTAACTAGAAGTTTAAAACTATGTAGGCCAGCATGAGCACTTGTTTCACAGCTATGTAACTGCCTTATTAGCTTGGCAAAAAACTTGTAGAAAAGTAAAGAAAAAAGATGCCTCCCTGAACACAAGTTCCTGACAATGTAAATGCCTTTTTCTCCCCATCCTTCTATAGGTTTGAAAATAACTGACATAGTTTTTGTTTACCGGGGAGAAAGAAGAACAGGAGAAGCTTTTGTGCAGTTTGCAGCTCCTGATATGGCAGCTAAAGCCCTGCTACGACATAGGGAATATATGGGAAATAGGTAGGTACTTCACTGGGGTTCATGAAGGTACAAGAACATGGTATGAAGCATGTTGTGTGACTTACAGCTTGCTTATTACCAGGTGCAACAGGTATTCTTCAGTTACCCCATATTTATTAAGGAAGCTTCTGCCTTTATTACTCTTAAAGCCTAGAACTCAACTTCAGGTTCACATTTCAGTAGAAATCATAGCTAAACCTTTGTCATAGTTGTGTCAGACTGTTACTTTGTGCCTTATTTAAAAAATGTTTTAAGACCCTCTGAAATACTCAAGTATTCAAAATACTCAATACTTACCCTCAGCTAACCCAAGTGTTACTCTTCTGGTGATGTATTCTTTAGAACTGCGAGAAGACTGAAGAAAAGAGCCTTTTGCAGGCCTCTGTGTGCTGCAGATGCCCCTTCAGCAGTTGTAGCTTGGGGGAAGTTGGGGCCTCTCAGAAACCATTCATTCATTCAAAGTACTTCTGAAGGCAGCCTCATCCCAACAACAATGGGTTGACAGCATTTAGAGCTACAAACATGAGACAGACACTGCCTGCCCAGTCATAAGTGCACAGGGATCCTACCCCTCCTACAGACATTTGCTCTCACCAAATTTCCACCAGGTTCCCTGGCTTTCTGCACTTTGGCAACCTTTGCCTCCAGTATCAGGCACTGTCTTTGTCTCCACTTGTAGAGGATGTTGTATGAAGCACAGTTTACCACTTACCTCTAGCTTGAATCCATTCCCAACCCTCACTGCTGGCTAACACCATACAGTGGTTGGCCTCTATGGTGACCACATCCACCTAGGCTGTTCTTGCTCAGGAATCTGTATTTAATCATTTTCTCCCAGAGTGCTGAGTCCTGTGCCCAACACCTCCCAAGAGCCCCTCTTTTCTCAATCTGAAGTGTGTATCACTTTTCCCCAGAACCAGAATCATTTAGGTTGGAGAAGACTTAAGAACACTGAGTCTAGCTGTTAACCTAAACACTGCCAAGTCCACCACTAAACCATGTTCCTGAGCACCACATTTACACTTCTTTTAAATACCTCCACAGCTATACTTGGGAAAAAAACAAACCAAAACCCCAAGATTGCTTTTACCTTGCTGAATCCTCTTTAAGCCACTAGGTTCTGTTTATAACATAAGATAATAAAAGACGTCTCTAAACTTTCCCGCTTCCACACAACACTTAATTCCTTTCTTCTATTTTCCTACTTCCTGTTCCCAGGCTGCACTTCTTCATGTTTCTGCCTCCCCTCCATGTTAAAAGAGAACAGCTGCTCTCTAGGTGTGCCCAGTAATTTAATTAACTCCTGTACTTCCCTGCTCTCACCAGAAATTAATGAATTCTCAATCTGCCATTTTTTTTTGTCTCGCTCAAACACGAGCTGATGTGACTCATCCACCTCAGCTCATACATCTCTGGTGCTGGGGGATTAGCCAAGAAATGGAGTGCTTGCCAAAACTGCTGTCAACTTGAACTTACTCGTTCTTCCTGAGCTATCAGTTTTATCCAGAAATGGCCTTCAGCTGTGCACAGTGCTGAGCTGGGGCCTCTGTCAGCCTGTACTTGGTGTTACTTTCCTTACTCGAGGCAGGGAGGAAAGCCTCCTCTCCTGGATGTCCATATTCTCTTCTTCATCACGTTACTCCTTCAGTGCTGTGGAAATCACTTTAAGACGAGCAGTTAAGTTTTTGTGCAGCCCAGCTGGTACTGTCTCCAGCTCTCTGAAAGATGAGCACAGGCAGCTCCAAGTTGAGGGGTTCTGGGACAGGCAGCCAGAAACATAAGGAACTGTAATTTTATACTTTGAATAAGCCTATGAATAAGGGCTGGTTTGTTGGCTTATTTATTCATTTTCTTTTCTGTGGTGTAAGTGGGTCCCATAATGTTGCATTACACATTGGTGTATTATACCCATGACTTTCTCGTACATCCCATTACATTTTATCCCATCAGTTTCAGAGCCATCTGTAAAATCGTAAGAGTTCCACTGAAATACTTACTATGACCCTGTGCATCTTCTCTGTTTCCCTGTTGCAGTAATTGGGTTTGGAGCTGGGTGGGGTTTTACTTTGGGGTTTGTAGAAATTTGAAAGTGCAGTTTGCAGAGGGCAAGGAGAAAACAGCCTCACATAAGATGGTGCGTACTGCTGGAAGAAACAGAAAACGTCTTTCAGAGGAAGTAAGTCTGTGGCTGTCGCTGCAAGTTGAAAAGGGCTTTCATAAAGACGAATTCATCAAACCCATTGCTTGCCATACCATGGCTCTCACACCCCATACGTGAGCAGAGTTGGGATGGGAGAACATCCTGCGGGTGCCTTCTCAAAACCTGGAGTTCTCTGCGGAAGTGCAAGATGTGCTATGTCATCTTTTCCTTTGCATTCCAGATACATAGAAGTGTACGTCAGTAGGAAGCATCAAATGCAAAAGCATTTGCCTTACGACAGGCAGCCGTTGACCTACCACAGAGTGAGAAGAGAACATGAATACGAAGAAAGGGAATCGAGTGACATGGGTGGCTCCGACACTGGAAGAGGAAATAGTGAGTCCCTCCCTGCCGTGTGTGTTCTCTGAGGCCCATTCCTTTCACCCTGATTGTCTGCTGTGAGCATGACCCTGCGTGTCTACAGCTTTCATGTGATGATTGCCAGCATTTATGATGTTTTTTTTCCCTCCATTTCACAGAATCGTGCAGGGAAGGAATGGAAAGCTCCAGGCATATTGTAGAATCTGGGAATGTCTCATCATTACTGCACTTTGTTCATATGAAGGGTTTCCCTACCCAAGCTAGTGCCCAAGATATCATAAATGTGAGTAACAGTAAAGTTATGAGTGGCATTTGGTAGTCATTACCAATGGAAACTCTTGATTAATTGTTACAGATGTCCCTGCCCCTGGCAGGGGATTGGAACTGAATGAGCTTTAAGGTCCCTTCCAGCCCAACCTATCCCATGATTCCTATGATCCTGTTAAGTGGTATAAAATGTTTAATTTATCCATGTCTCTGTTAGTCCTCAGTGCTGCACGACTTCAGGCTGAATGTGTTTGAGAACTGGAGTTCACTGTGGGTTACAGGCTCCAGGGCAGCCATGGCCTCTGTAAATACCAACGGATTAAAGCTGCTGAGGATGTCTTAACATCTGCCACTGGCTCAAGTAGCCATTTGTAATCTTAGGTACATTTCAGAGTGGCTGATTGTACAAAAAAGAATTTCAGAATCATTTTATTATCGATTTTATGGCATTTTAATAGCATAACAGTGTCTCAGGATGAATGTACCTGCACTTAATGATGCTGTTGTCTGCAGAACACGTGTGCTGTGTGAGGAGTTTTGTTCCTGTCAAGGATTACTCTGTCAGGAGCTTACAGGGGGTGGGACGGAGGACTTGGGTGTGCCGCAGCTTCACCTGGATGGAGAACGGGGGGGCCTTCTGCTACTCAGGAGCTCAGACTGCCTCACAGCCGGGCAGGCTTTATAAGTAGGAACAGCAGTTTTTTTGGTAATGGGGCACGTTCCTGTTCTCTTTCTTCCTTAGAAAACTCCTTATTTTTCTCCTTTTCAGTTTTTTTCTCCACTGAAGCCCACAAGGATCCTGATAGAATACAACTCCCATGGAGATGCCACAGGAGAAGCGGATGTGCATTTCGAGAGCCATGAGGATGCAGTGGCTGCAATGTCCAAGGAGGGGTCCCAGCTGCGTAAGTGAAGACAAGGGGATCGTACAGAGCCTTGGATAGTTTGGCACACAGGCACAGTTGTCAAGCTGCTGTTAACCTTGTAAAGGGTTGTAAAGGGATCACCGCAAATGTAGGTTTCCAAATTACCCTGTAATCAGACATGGGATTTGTGCAAAAATGAAAAAAAGAGAAACTGGAGAAACTAACTCATCAAGTCACTGAATCCAAACCCAGCCTGTCTCTCTCTTTTTCAGAGTGCAGTGCCATTGAGTTATTCCTGAATAAACATCCAAAGGCAAAAGAAAACTGCTAGTGACAGTGGCACAGTCTCAGATTGGTAAGTGCATCCTTCTCCTCTCTCGGTCCTGTTACATTAACCTCAGGCTGATGGGGGTGGTGTCCTGTAGCAGGACAGTTCTTGCTGTCTTTGTTGCACAGAAACAGTGTCTCTCTTGCCATTTACAAAAGCAAACTTGCAGGCCATGTTGGGTGCATGAGGGAGGTGACACTTCCATGGAGGAGGGCACAGTGCGGCCTGGCAGTTGTTGCTGCCAGAACATTGTCAGGTCACACTCCTTCCTCAAAACGCACCAGCCCTTCCTGTGGCAGAAGGGTTTTCCAGCTCCACTACTGTGAGACTGTTTGTTCCAGGAAAGAAGTTTCCCATGTCCTTAGGGAAGGCCCTGGGTGACTTGTAATGCTTTCTTCAGTTCCCTCAGGAAAGGTGGGGTGCTGGCTGCTGCTCCCCACTGCAGCAGGGAGGCCTGGCACCCTCCACTGCCCCACCATCCCTGCAACTCCGGATTGCTGTGCCCTCCATCCCAGCTAGCCCTACTGGCACCAGCACAGCCAGAACCGCTTCTGGCCCTGAGCTGGGACCCAGCTCCAGTGGAATTTAAGACCGCTAGCCCCATGTATATGTGGGTACTGACACCCGCCACGGGAACATCTCCCTGTTACAGCTGTTTGTATAATGCCAAAGTCTACTATTCTATTATTGGAGGCAATTTGAAAAAAGGAAAGCAATAAGCCCATAGCAAGGCACTGATTTTAATTCTTCTTCTCTTTTCAGGCCAAGCGAACATTCCGGGGATACAAGCATAAAGTTGGAGGACGAGTGTCGCTGCTCACTAACAAGGATAAACTGTATAAAATCTAGGTTAGCATGGTGTAAAAGCATATAATAAATTGTATTGACATACTGAGGACAGATTGTGTGTTCAAAAGCAGAAGCAGCTGCACTGGAGGGATGGCAGATATTGCAGAATGGAGCCGTTCTAGTCTCCAGCTAGGATTAGTAAACCACCAGTATGCACAGTTAAAGCAGTGCGATTTCAGATCCTCACACACAGGTCAGTGTGTGTAGGGTAGGACAGCCAACACCTCATCCCTCCTGTGCATAATCAAGGCAGAAGGGTATGGAAAGACCACTCAGGACATGGGATACAGATGATAAAGTTTTTATTACTGCGTGGAATAAAATGAACATCAGAAAAACTGCCCTCTGCTCCCCCAAGCTTGACGGCCAGTGTCAGCCCACACTCCAGCATTACGAGCCGTACCTGAGCAAACACACCCTGAACATCTGCAGCATCCAGTATGTCCCAGCAGAGACCTTCACCGAGGGCGAGATACCAGGGATGAGGCAACTGCTGACAGTGGAGCACCGTCTTGCTCTAACCTTCCGAAATGCCTGATTCCATGCTACCTGCCAGAGCTGGGTTCTGAAGGGTTTCAACCACCTCCCTGCTTGTAGGGATCTCATGTGACTTCAGGGGACCTGCTCACAAGCTGTCCTGTTCTTCACAGCCTTCACCCTGAGCAAGCAGAGCAGCAGCTACTCCAGCTGGAATGGTCAAAAGCTGGGCACAGGGCACAAACACACTTGGAAGCTGCAATGTGCTGGTCATACCAGCATTTAAGTGAATGACAGTGAGGGCCCAGGTTCTAGTTTAGTCCTCTCACATGGAAATTGTGTGGGTCTCACTTTCTCCACGGCTGTGAGTCACACTGGGTTTGGGTGCAGGAATCTGACATCTTTTCAACGTGTACAGCACATACACAAAACTAACACTGCACTCGATGTCCTCCCTGTACATCTCTGGTATCTCACCCCTTTAGAGGAGGGAGCCCACACTCAAATTCTTGGCTTTTTGTATTTCAACACTGTTTACAGCTACTAACCTACTGCAAGGGACAGCAGCAAGGAAATGGATCTGGTAACTGCCATGAGGGGGGGAAAAAAGAGCAGAAAAAGAAAAACTACATGAAGTTTCCCCCCTGTGAAGGGCAGTAAGAGGAGGTGGAGAACTTGGGTGGGTCAACACACCAAGGCCTAGAGGGATCTAGAACAGTAATTTCATCGTCCAAACTAGCACCAGCCACAAAATCTCAGCTCTGACACGCATTTTAATGCAGTCCCAGCCAAGCTACTGAACAGAAAAATCCCCCCTGAGGAATGAAACCACTAACCCCTAATAACATTTGTACAAACCCAAATGCATTTGTTGTTCCATAAATACATCAGTTTTCTATGGACTACAAAACATTCTGCAGTCTTCAAGACTCATGCAGGCTTCCAGTACAAACCCAACACAACTACGACCTGCTGCGTGTTTGTAAGGAAACCACCACTGCTTTTTGGAATAGCATTAAATTCCATGAGATGACAGCAACAAAGAATGATGTAGCATTAACTGTGAAAACTCTTTAAACTGTGTTTCAAACTACCACTTCTAGTAGGTGCAAAGCATTCCGATTTCATCTTGCCTTCGTTTTGATCTAACAGAAAGAACGTGAAACACCACGTTTATCATGGTAACTCTTTCATGTGTGCAAGGGGGAGAGGTGGAGTGAAGTGGCCCTAAACCACCTTCTGTGTCTAAATACCTGGGACTCCAGTTCCTCTGTTACCACACCGAGGTGGGAGGTACAGTTACACCCTTGTGTAGCCACAGTCACAGTGAGGGTCTCTCAGAGGGAGGTCGGAGACGCTGTAAGGCACTTACATGCCGGATCAGTGCAGGTGATCAGTTCTCATACTGTGCATCTACCAAAACCACCGACACCCCTACCCTTTACAATACAGAAGGTGAATTTTCACAGCTTTGATTGGTTTTGGTACAGATTTGTGTATTAAGCCCATAGCCAGAGGTCTGAGTCAAAGAAATGAAGCTAGGAAGGGCTTACTGGCATCTCACCCACCTCCTGACGCCTGGCACTGATGCAGCAGGTAGAGCCAGAGTGTCAAAGGCAACCAGGAAAAGGGAGATGGGATTCCATGTGCAACCAGACATGAGAATTAAGAAGCTCCTGTTCTGCTTTCAGTGAGCCTCTGCTCCACAGCAGCATGCTTTCGCACCACACGCTTCAGGATGAGAACATTCTCAACTTGCACACACACAGCTCTTTTTTTCGGGGGGTTCTGTTCTCACTGTGCCCTGAGGCTGCTCAGGCACATGCTGGGCTACTTCACGTGACATTCTCAAAGCAGTTCTCCCAGCACGAGCTCAGGCCTCAGAGCAGGTAGATTTTTGTACACGGAAGGCTCAGATCGTTTTTTGTCACAAGAGACTGTAAACACCATGAAGCTGCTTCCCTCTGATGTCCAAAGAACACAGGCAAGCATCTTCACATCCCCCCAAACAGCTCCAGAAACCATCATCAGCTACAACCATTATTTGTCACCTGTCTCTGCAGCCCATCCCCTACAAGGGACTGGTCGAGTACTGCTGGATGAGCTGCTCGTGGCAGGTATTGCAGACACGCTCAGGGTTGATACTAGATGGGAGAGGCAGCTCATTCACTGAGCAGGCTTCACAGAAGATGCCACTACAGTTCTTGCAGATGTTCTGGAAGGCAGGAAGAGAACAGAGGAATTAGAGATGCTCAAGACATGAGCAACAAAAAAACCCATACATTTTCTCTCATGAATATTCAATCAACCCAAATCTTCTGCTGGGTTAGAGAAATGCTTCACAGCTCCACTGTGGAGTGGAGCACTCCCACTGAACACCCTTTTTGGTAACTCTTGTAATCACTCTAGATCCACACTGTAAAGCAGTGAGGAAAGCAAGAGGGGCTTAGCCACAAAAATAAGAAATAGGCAAGGTGTCAAGTGGAGAAATTAAAACTGTTACCACTGCCTATTCTCACTTCCCATTGATCCCTGAAGATCCCATTTAGCTAAAAAGGGAAGAAGGAAAACCAAACCACAGAACACCAAGCAGAGTGAGGAGCCCTCAAGCAAGCACTGTTCAACAAGTTTACATTAAGGGTAAAGTGGAATTCAGAACAGGGCTCATTTCCTTGTCCCAGGTCACCAGCAGAAAATCTGCACTACTGAAATGAAAATGGGAGGAGACACAGTGTCACCAGATGACAGGGATAATGAGTCCTTGAAGTTACCTTTCTTTTGCTCCGGCTGCTTTCCTCCCGGCAGAGCTGGCAGATCTCAGTGTTTCCAGGTCCTGAGAGCTGCTCCTAAACCCCAAGTAAAAACCAAGACATTCTGCTTTATGTGCTACTTCACACAGAATCTGTGTTAGAGCTCCGCAGCTGATCCACATTGTACAACAGGGAGGAAGGCTTCACGCGCTCGTGTGTTCAACCCCCTCTATTCACAGCACACCATGCATTGGCAGGATCACCTACAGTCACACTGGCTACACCACAGGGCAGACAGGGAATCACAGCACGGCTGTGGGAACCAAGAACTATGCAGCTCCATTTTCAGGCCAGTATCAGGCTGCTGGCCCAGCACCAAGGTGGGAAATCAACACCTTTTTCACTGTGAACAAGAGCTGACATGCAGCAGTGCTTTTTCTACTAGGGAACAATTGCTGCTACGGACTCTACAGCCAAATCCTCACCAAGGCAAAACCCAAAGGGCAAACTTTGGGGTATTTGGGCAGGGAAGATGCTGCAGTGACCCCGGAGCTCCTTCAGTACCCCTGTCCCTTCAGTATTTCAGTGCAAGAAAAAGAATCACCAACCTGCTCTTCCTGCGTGCTGCTCAGTAACCTGCAAGAGAAAAACATCATCACCTGGAGCTGGTACCTCAGCCACTGCATCATTTCAGAAAAACATCTGGACCATCAGAGAATTCTACATCCTGTTTTTTACATCCTATCCATACAGAGCTTTGGGTTTGTTTCTTCAAAACCACGCTGCCATGGCTGCTTGAACAAGAGATGAGGCCTTTATAAGCTTTATCAAACAGCAAAGCAGAGAGGCAGGACATGACTGGTGCTGTTTAGACATCCAGCACACCTAGCTAAATGGGAAGAGCAGGAGAAAAACTAGTAAAATGCCTTCAGAAAGAGAGCAGTGCATACAAAAGACTGTTTAGATCGTATAAACACAGTTTAAACCTAGCTTTAAACTTGTTACTGCAAAATGTTTGAGCCCCTCCAACTGCTGCAAACAGGCAGCGATAATGGATTTAGATCCAGGTACAGCTAAGAATCATGCTACCTGAACTTCATCTTCATACAACCATCTTCTTGAAATACTATTTCAATTCTCTTTCTCCAGCAGCTTCTCTTCTGGTCCAGAAGCCACAGCTTATTAGTTCCAAACACCACTGATAGATCCACCAACCCTTCTCCTTCCCCTCATCAACAGATACCTTCTTTGGACACAAGTACCAAAGATGTAGATCTCTGCAGCATTTAGCTTACAAAAGGCTCATTGAGCAAGAAAAATCAATCAAGAGGAGGTTTATAGACACAATTTGAAAGGGAACTGGGAGAGAGACTGAGCTTTTCAGATCCAGAAGGGCTGATGGCAAGCAGTATAACCTCCTCTTGCCCTTTGAGTGCTATGAAAAAGCAGCAGAGACCTCAACAAAGGGCATGAGGTCAAAAATCTTTTTTAGAAAGGCGAGTTGCACCATTACAAACTTCCCATTAGCACAGAAATCAGCGGAGGGGAAGCAGGACTTAAAAAAAGGAGAAGGCAAAAAGGAGATTTCCTTTCTTTCATACTTGTGTGTCAGGACACTGTTCTCTCTTAGCGGCTGTTTCAGTTTAGCATTTTCTTCCTGGATTTTGAGCTTCCCGTCCTGCCAAAAGGAAACATTTACCCATCAGTTGAACTGAGTA